GTTGGAAGGATCAATGGCATGACGTTGATTTGGTGCCAAAACCGTAAGTGATTTATCGATTAAATATGTGATCACTTTTCGACATTTCGGAATTTCTCGACATATAGGGTTTCGCATAGCTAGAGGTTCTGTGGGGTATGGCTGAGTGGTCGGTGATGCGCGCTATCGGGAATTAGTGGTTTGGTTTGACCCCGTCCACCAACGCTCTCTCGCAGTCATTCTTAAACGAAGCTCAGCTCGGATCCGTCTGAGACTGCGCTATTTGCCCAGCCGCTAGTCCACGGCATCCATAAAGATGATGCGATTCTCGGCAGAAGTGGAAACAACTCGGGAAGTGAACGAAGACTTTTTGGAGGATGAATACGATGAAACGAATCGAATGCGAGAAGTATGGGGATGAGCCCAATAAAATTTAGTAACTGCTTCAAAATTGAAAAAGAAATAGAAATAAAGTTGTGATTTCATGCGACAGAACCCCCTTTGTGAGATCGTTCCATAAGTTTTGGCACTCGGGCAATAAATACCAAATTTAATAATCAGAAGGATAAAAACTATGATTTTGTTGTCGTTCAGTTGCGCATTTTCTTGCAAACATCTTGGTAACAACTTGTCTGTATTTGCTCCAAGATGGAGCTGTCTTAGGAACAAATTCGCTTTCTGCTATGTATGAGTGATGCGCTGTAGAAAGTGCTTGTGAGGCGGCGCGCAAGATCAGTAGAGCTTGAAGCGATAGTAAGGTCGCAGAAAGGTCGGCTAGGAAGTGGTTCTCGAAATTCAGAACTGGAGAATAAAGTATGGGGAGCAGTCGCTCTCGAGCCATTCGCAGGAAGATCCATTAATCGCGCGCGCGCTATTCGTTCATGAGTGGCAAACGAAATTCTTCCGAAGACAGCTTTATCTCAAAGTATAGGCAAGTTATATACCGAAGTGTTTGCAAGAAAATGCGCAATTAAACGGCACCTAAATAGTGCGAATTTAATTACTTTTGATCAATAAACTTGATGTTTATTGCTGTAGTCACAGAACTTGTTGTGTATCGATCTAATGTATTCGTGTCGTGCGAGTGATCGATCACAAAAAAGTATTCCGGGGAGGAATGGATTGGCGCCGTTGTGAACTACTTGTCTAGCGCCTTGTAAGACTTTTAAGCATTTTTTGTTTATTCATTATCTGTTTCTCTACCTATGCTAACTCGCTTAATCTTCTAATTTTGTTTTATTTATTTGTGCGTTCTCATGAAGCTGATGGTCTTGACTTTGACCAATCCTTGAAGGATGCACCATGAATTCGTCTTCGATGTCTAGTTTGATTTGAGCGATGTTGAATGTATGCTTGGCTTTTAGAATGACTTGCGGTGGCCTACTGATATACAAGCAAGTGCTGCCATCCTCTTAGACAAATTCAATACCGATTTTCTGACTCCGAAGGGATGAAGGCTTGCTAAGACCAGAGCGCGAGATCGAGCCACCCACCTATTTCGCAGCGCCGTGCACCTTTGACCAATGCTCCAGAAGCGCTTTCCGTTCTCATATTGTTTAGTTCTGCCGTGAATGATTGCGGGAAAATAGCCATGGCAAGACAACACCTTGGAAATCAGTGAGTGTTGCAGATTGTATTGCTGCTTTTGGTAGTTTATCGGGGCCACTCCTAACCGAAGAACGGAGCGCCTTGTTTCTTGAACAAGTTTACAGTCCATATCTTAGCTATTTAAGTCGGAAATTACCGGGAAGGCTGCAGCTCTCACATTTACTGTTTTTGAAAGGCGCGTTATCATAACATTTTCTATGACACTAACAAGTACATGTTAGACAAATAGATTATTGTGAAGCCACGATCTCGTTGACTAAGTTAAGAATCAATTTCAATAGTCGTTTAGTTTCTGCTTTACAAGGCTCGTCTTCGCAGTTCAGTGTACTAACATCTATCGCAATCGAATCATACATTCCCATTCATCCTCCTCTAAGGACTTCAAGCATTTCATATGTTGCTTCGGTTGCTACTTGAGAAATTTGTCTTCTTACCACATCGCGAACTAAATGCATGGAATTTCATGCAATGATCGCCGCTCTGCGTTCCAGACAATTGGCAGTGCTACGCGTCGCAGTCGCCTTTAGAGAGTTTAAGGATCTCATGTTTTTGCTGCTTCTTTGCAGTGTATTTCAAGTAAATCTTGGAGGATTTAGTGGTACCCAAAAGTTCGACCTTAGACGGGAGTTGAACGCGCGTTTCACTCGTACCGTGAGCGCGTGTTAGATCACTTAGATGTTTCCTTGTCTTATTATTTTTATTTTAGGAACAAATGACATGTCGTCACCATTGTGCCAACTTAATATTCTACTAATCCTCCATTTCATTAGGGATTTAGTAGGTTAGTTGCTAGCCAATAGTCGGAAGGATTAATGCCATGACGTTGATTTGGCGCAAGTGATTTGTCGAATAATCATCTGATCACTGAATTTTTTTCTATATTTCGGTTTCGGATAGCTAGAGGTTCTGTGGGGTATGGTTGAGTGGTTGATGATGCACGCTACCGGGAAGCAGTGGTCTGGTTTTTTTACCCCGTCCACCAACGCTCTCTCGCAGTCATTGTCAAACAAAGCCGTTGCCAAGCTCCAGCTCGGATCCGTCCGAGACTGCGCGATCTGCGCGACCGCTGTTCCACGGAATCCAAAAAGGTGATGAAATTCTCAGCAGAAGTAGAAACAGCCTGGGGAATGTACGAAGACCTTTGTGGAGGATGAAGACGAGTAAACGAATCGAATCCGAGAAGTATAGGGATCTGCAGAACAACAGTTGATAACGGGCTGTTTAAATTTGAAAAATCAGAATGAGTTGTGATTTTATGCGACGGAAGTCTCTTATCATATTGTTCGATAAGTTTTGGCACTACAGCAATAAACATGTTTGGCCTTTAGAATGACTCGCGGTGGCCTACCGATATGCAACTAAGTGCTGCTATCCTTTCAGACAAGTCCAGTATAGATCTGTGACTCCGAAGGGATAGAAGGTTTGTTAAGCCTCGAGCGCGAGATTGAACCACTCACCAAGTTCGCAGTGCAGTGCATCTCTAACCACTGCTCCAGAAGCGCTCTCCGTTCTCATATTGATCAATTCTGCCGTGAATAACTGCGAAAAAATAGTCATGGCAAGACTTGACCTGTAAAAGCAGTAAGTGTTACAGATTGTACTAGTGCTTTTGGTTGGTTTGATTTACAAATTTTCACTTCTTTGGAGTTGTTCGGGGCCAATCCCAACCGAAAAACGGGGTGCCTTGTTTCTTGAACAGATTTATAGTCCATATCTCAGAGTCGAAAACTGCTGAGGAAACTAGAACTATCACATTTACTGTTTTTGAAGGGTCCGTTATCGTAACATTTCCCTAATCTACTTGGCACTCACAAATACATACTAGACGAATAAATTATTCTGAAGCCACGATCTTGCTGACTTAGAATTCAATGTCAAAAGTCATTTGATTTTTGCTTTACAAGACTCGTCTACATCTACCGCAATCGATTTTTATATTCCCATTTGGAATAAGAGAATTTGAGAATTCTTATGTTTTTGCCGCTTTTTCGCTAGTGATTTCCTAAAAGTTCGACCTCAGACGGGAGTTGAACCCGCGTTTCACTCGTACCGTGAGCGCGTGTTAGATCACTTAGATGTTTCCTTGTCTTATTATTTTTTATTTTAGGAACAAATGACATGTCGTCACCATTGTGCCAACTTAATATTCTACTAATCCTCCATTTCATTAGGGATTTAGTAGGTTAGTTGCTAGCCAATAGTCGGAAGGATTAATGCCATGACGTTGATTTGGCGCAAGTGATTTGTCGAATAATCATCTGATCACTGAATTTTTTTCTATATTTCGGTTTCGGATAGCTAGAGGTTCTGTGGGGTATGGTTGAGTGGTTGATGATGCACGCTACCGGGAAGCAGTGGTCTGGTTTTTTTACCCCGTCCACCAACGCTCTCTCGCAGTCATTGTCAAACAAAGCCGTTGCCAAGCTCCAGCTCGGATCCGTCCGAGACTGCGCGATCTGCGCGACCGCTGTTCCACGGAATCCAAAAAGGTGATGAAATTCTCAGCAGAAGTAGAAACAGCCTGGGGAATGTACGAAGACCTTTGTGGAGGATGAAGACGAGTAAACGAATCGAATCCGAGAAGTATAGGGATCTGCAGAACAACAGTTGATAACGGGCTGTTTAAATTTGAAAAATCAGAATGAGTTGTGATTTTATGCGACGGAAGTCTCTTATCATATTGTTCGATAAGTTTTGGCACTACAGCAATAAACATGTTTGGCCTTTAGAATGACTCGCGGTGGCCTACCGATATGCAACTAAGTGCTGCTATCCTTTCAGACAAGTCCAGTATAGATCTGTGACTCCGAAGGGATAGAAGGTTTGTTAAGCCTCGAGCGCGAGATTGAACCACTCACCAAGTTCGCAGTGCAGTGCATCTCTAACCACTGCTCCAGAAGCGCTCTCCGTTCTCATATTGATCAATTCTGCCGTGAATAACTGCGAAAAAATAGTCATGGCAAGACTTGACCTGTAAAAGCAGTAAGTGTTACAGATTGTACTAGTGCTTTTGGTTGGTTTGATTTACAAATTTTCACTTCTTTGGAGTTGTTCGGGGCCAATCCCAACCGAAAAACGGGGTGCCTTGTTTCTTGAACAGATTTATAGTCCATATCTCAGAGTCGAAAACTGCTGAGGAAACTAGAACTATCACATTTACTGTTTTTGAAGGGTCCGTTATCGTAACATTTCCCTAATCTACTTGGCACTCACAAATACATACTAGACGAATAAATTATTCTGAAGCCACGATCTTGCTGACTTAGAATTCAATGTCAAAAGTCATTTGATTTTTGCTTTACAAGACTCGTCTACATCTACCGCAATCGATTTTTATATTCCCATTTGGAATAAGAGAATTTGAGAATTCTTATGTTTTTGCCGCTTTTTCGCTAGTGATTTCCTAAAAGTTCGACCTCAGACGGGAGTTGAACCCGCGTTTCACCCGTACCGTGAGCGCGTGCTACCACTAGAACACCGAGGCGACCACTTACTCGCCGCTCATTTTACAGGATCTCTCTATCGTAGCTATCACCCACCAACCTTTAACAGATTTGGTCGTGTAAGCAATTGTAAATCATGCAAGCACTCAATTCTCATAGATAAGAGAATTCAGTTGGTGAATTAGGGTTCTGAGGCGATATTATCATAATTAAATGACGGATTATCTCAAGGGAGAGTTCTGTAAAAGAAATTCCAGTGGAAAAAACGCCCATATTTTTACAGAAACGTCCTACGTATCATCGCTGAGACCATTTTCTTTCAAAAAGAAACATACTTTCTGCTGTTATATGACATTTTTTTCTTGTTTTATCAATGATCTGTAGTCATTCGGTGGTTTAATAGACACAGATTTTATACTGAGTTTGGTTTCTGAAGCGACCTTGATAGCACTTTCTATCAACCAAAAGGAAACGTTTTGCATTACGAGTAGTAAGCAATTGTTTGTTTGAATTTTACGGTGGATTCGTCGCTGCTTCTCAACTGAAACTTTTATTTTTGAGTCACTTTGTCTCCTTTAGAGAGAAGAATAATATTGAATGGTTTCCTATTAACGCAATTTTAGTAAAAAACGGAACCAAGTTATCCTCAACATCCCTACTTTTCAATAAGTATACTTCATTGTTAGGATAGCATGTATTTCCCACTGTTTTTCTTCGCATTTCTTTCGATAATGCTGTAAAGTTGTAATTGGAGAACACCGCTTCCTTCATATACGACTTGTAAGAAATAGTATGTGAGTTTTCATCCAGAATGCACCTGGAGAAGAGGTAGAAAGAGAGCACATTCATCAGCTTGAGGGATTTGGAGGTTTATTTCGCTCTCAAAAACCCGGTGTCTCGGAAGAAACATCCACCTTGTTTGTACTTCACAGCCTTATTCAGGTCTCTTCCATTATATCATCTTATTTGCTAACGATAACGCTTTAATAACGCTGAAGGGCTATATTTTATGAGAGACCCATCACATTGTCTTTGGACCACTCCTGGTAACCGACGACCGCGTCGCGCCAAGCGAAGTTTCAACGTGGTACGCAACGTGCTAATAATTTCAACAGAATGCTGGTCGAGACTTCTTGCAGTCTCCTAGGTATCTAAGCTAAGGCGTTACCCGCGGCGTTCAGTTAGTTGATTGCAAGAGAGTGTTGGGGTAGGGAATCGATCGGGCGCATTACTATCGTCTAATTTGCTGGAACACTACATCACAAGCCAGTTCACCACTTTGCTAGAAAAAGTACTAAAAGACTGTAAATGCCTGTTGCAGAAAGGCTAACTTATAGACGACTTGTGGTCAACACAGTAGTGCGATTCGATCGCCGAATTTTTCTTTACGCCTTTCTCACTAGAAATTCAGTTCCTTTTTCGTTTAGGACCATTAAAAAATCCTAAAGGTGCTGCGTTGAGACCGCTTATGCCAGCAGTGCCAGTGAACGTACGGTTATTTTCATTCAAATCGTTCATTTCCGTTTTTACCGTTGTTCCCTTTTCATATTTGCTTCATTTACAGTAATTTTCGGATACTATGGTATTCTGCTGCCTCGAGTGTGATTTCCTGTCCCCCATGTGTTTCGCTGAAATCTACTTTGTTTTTCTATTTCACACATTTGCTTGCAGATGTAATCTAATAATGCTTCAGAAGATGTTTGTTCACAATCTAGTTGTGTACCTGATGGGAGCCCCTGGCCGATTGGCTAATGATGCTCGGTGCGGCTTGACGCGTGTTGTTTCGCACCGCCCATTAGTACTCCGTTAATCGGTAACCATCGCCCAGAGCAACGTCCCAACCTGGCTATCTTTGTTGTTGCAAGGGGACGTGCTCGGCCAGTGATCTGCGGCGTTCTCGAAAGAAAATAAATTCTCAAGCGAGCGAGGAGACGAATCAAATGCTAGAAGTACTGGAACTTGCATAAAAAGATTGGGTTCTTTTTCAGTAATAAGGGGGCAAATGAAAAACTTATCTCTTTCGCTAGAGTGAAAATTTTC